CCCCAAAACCCCAAAACCCCGGTAGCAATAATATGAAGATAATAGAGATAAAATAAGATAAAAGTATCAATAAATCATTTAAATTAAGTAATCAATAAAAGCCTATAATCTTAAAAGGTGTACTAATTTTAAATTTTGCGATTGCTTTAATAGTAATAATTTCAAATCAAATTTATTTTCCCGATTATATTACTCTCTCTAATTCTTAAATTCTAGTACCTGAAAATCTTTTCTTCAAATTCTTTCTTTTTTATGTCTGACACTGGAATAATTCAATTTTTGATTGATTTTCTTTGGTTATCCTGAATAAAATCATTGATTTAGGCTTTAAATGCACAAAATTTATCATATTTTACTAATATTGCTCTTGCTCATACTTCTACTTTTCATTAATTTTTCTGATTGATTTTATTAAGGTTAATTAGCTCAAATTGAGTAACAAATTATAGGCTAACACAAATGCTGGATAATGACTTCCATTAGAGTTATCTAAATTATATTTCTTTGTTTCTAGGTAATCAGTCCTTAATACTTGCTTTGAAAAGTAATGACAAAAGAAATAGGCATAAAACTCTGTGTTTATCAATTTGTATAGTTTTTCTAGAGAAAATTTATTAAGAGATTGATGGAACATTTTTTTTAGATTTGATTCAGAGATCGTATTCATTTTTGTTCTGCAATCTATTGATTCATTGGGTGCTTCATTTTTTGAATTTCCATTTTAGATTATTAGTGATTTATATACTTCTTTTGGGTAGATTAGGCATCCAAAGAATAATATCAAATCATTAAAAATTAGATTATTGTCTTAGTTTATTTATTTCTCCTGGACTTAGTATTTAGAATAAAGTTCAGGAAATCTGTATTGAAGGTAACTACCAATCTATCGAAGGAAGAAAAAGTTTTCTTTTCGATTCTTTATCAAGATAAATCCTGTGACTGCATTAAAGTCTTTGGAAAAAAATTTTCTCATATCTCTTGATATTGTTTTGTACAATATGTCGCTCCTCAAATAGCGATTCCCTTTGTCATCATACTATCTATATTTTTTTCCATTACAAGGGTTAATGTAAAGAAATTCATTATCTCTATTGTCAGAGAGTACTATAATCCCATTTCTTCCATAACCGGGGATTTTTTCAATTAGATTCTCTCTTATCTTTTCAATATTCTCATCTGTATTATGATCAAGAATTATCTAATTTTTTGGAGTCTCTTTTAACCTATCGCTTGTTTATTTTATCAAACTTATCTTCATTGGATCCTTGTTTTTAATTAGTATATAAGTTTCTTTAGGTTCCAAGATAGAGTATTTGTTGGAGAGGAGGAAAATGCCGCATACTCTAGAATCAAGTTGTTTTCGGTTATTCTAATTTTATTTCGAATTAAAATCTATTTACTGATCATGATTTTAAAGAGTAGAACTATCTATTTCTTGATCGGTTGAATTCGCAATAATTTGCAAGTCCATTTAGCTGCATCCATAATTTATTTGACTCAAAAATTATTGATCTTGATAATAGTCTGTTTGTGTTTTTGGAATATTAATCATGAGTTGAGAAACTAAGAATATACAAATGAGCTTTAAAAATGATAATTTAATAAGCAGAAATAAATAGATTATTTAATGTTTTATTGATTAAAATTACTACACCTATCAAAAGCATATTATCAAGATGGGGTTTTGGGGTTTTGGGG